CCCCATTTTTTTCTTAGATTTAGTTTTATTTTCAACTTTATCTTTCCCTGCGTTTAAACTAATAGTATTAAACACGCTTACCTTGCTGTCTTCTAAATCGGCAATTACCTGGCGAAGTCGGCTTTCTTCCCTTACCAGCTCTTCAGCAATTCTTTCCAGCGTAAAATCTTCGTCCTTCCACCTATAGATCAATTGTACAATGCCGTAGTATTCCTGGGGTAATCTCCTTATTGCCTGGAAACCTTTAAAAAGATCTGCCAAGTTGTGATCAGCTTCAGCCAACTTCTTTGCAGTCATTCTTATTCTTGCGATGAATAATCCTATTTCTTCATTTGGCGTATATCTAATACTAAAAAATTCATCCAGTAACTGAATTATCCTTGCTCTTGTTTTGAGTTCGAATTGCTTCTGTAGAAGTTCCCACCCTTCTTTACCACTTGAACATTCTTGTATCAGCGGCCTGAACTCAGCTTTAATTCCATAATATAATGTAGTGAAGGCTCTGTTCTCCCTCAGTGTGAACTCCTGCTTTTCACGCCTTGTTGCACTTTTATCTAATTCTTCTTCTTTGTCCTGTATGAAGCTCCAACAATTTCTATCCAGTAACAGCATTTTCATGTCGACTTTCCATCGATCCCAGTTGTCATGGTTTAACAACTCAAAACCTTCAGGTAGTAATGAAATCTTCAATTAAGTGTGAGCACAATGACTTGAACAAACTTCTAAGACAGGTCAGCTTCTTTTCGTGGATAACACCCTCTTCACCTACATTCCTTCAATGCTGAGTTGAACTGGATGACTGATTAGCTGTTGGCACTGGGCCCATAACCCTGTTGGCAGTGGTGATAAAGGCAAAGCATTTTTTGCTTCCTTTAAATAAAGCTAAGACTAAACTAAATAAAATTCATGCTTTATTTCGTAAATAAAATAAAGAGCTAACACTGTAGCCTTTACATTTAAAATCATTTAATGAAAGCAAAACTAGCATAATGCTAACTGATAATCACACAAGAGAACAAGAACAAGCTTCGCCGATACCGGCGTACATATATATTATACTTGGCCAACCCGCCGATCTTGACGTCATCGGCCAATCAGTGGCAACCACGTTAGCTTACCGCCAATCGACCTCCGATCAAAATTTGCATGTGGAAAACTAAAGCCAACATCACACACTTCCCTGTCACTCACGCGTTTTCTTTCTCTCGCTCGATTGCGCACATTTCCTCTCGCACGCACTTTCTCTTTCTATCACTCGCTAGCGCACTTTCCCTCTATCTCTCGCTCAAGCACTTTCTATCTCTCTCGGTCGCACACTTTCTGTCGCTCGTGCAGTTTCCCTCTCGCACACTTTCTAGTTCTCTCTCGTCCGTGCACTTTCTCTCTGCTTGTAATTAACCACAAATGTCTTTTATACGCCCTTCTATAGCCACTTTAAATTTATGTATCTGTATGTAATTATTTACTTCCAACGCCCCTGTAAGGCTATGTAGAATTAGTTTATATCATCTTAAATTTATGTAACTGACCACAAATCTTTTATACGCCCTTGTATGGCCATGCAGCACTTGTTTAAAGAATCAATAAATAATTTGGATGGGAGTCTACCCGGTGGCATTTGGTTCGCGGAACTGCCAAACAGATGGTCCAGGCGTCCTGTGCGGCTGTCCTTACTACTCTCTCCCTCACTCTCACACACACTCTCGCTCTCACTCACACACTCTGTCACACTTTCTCTCTCACACCCTCTCTTACGTTCTCACCCTCTCTCCCACTGTCTCTCTCATCCTCACTCTCACATTCTCTCTTTCAGCGAGTTCGTTCTATGATTCACAAAATTTAATTTCCTTAATTCATGTCCTAAGAAAATAAATATAGCATTATTCTAACATAGGTATTTTACCACAGTATCGGCTGTCTCCAGGTGGGCTCATGGAAGCATCCAATTTTTACAGAGTCGGACGTTTTCTTAAATAACATATCAATGTTTTTTCATATTTCGATTATACGATTCAAATTATGCTTAGATATTTCACCTTGTAAAATTTGGTGCCAAATTCACAGAGAAATTCAAAAATTTTATCTTAGGACAATTTTTTCAGTTTACGCGAAGAACAACGGTTTACACTTGCAGAACTTTATATATGGCAAGGAATTTTTCTTTCCCTTTCATTATGCCGGAGCGAAAAAAAGGCACCTCGTTTCTATCTTTTTACATTGTCCATTAGCGAAAATAGTCACATCGTTCCTATTTAATGTTCTAAATAATAACGTAATTATTATTTGTTCCTCCTATACAATGGGTGAATTTTATTTGAAATGAACCTAAATTTCGAAATGTGAAAGGAAAAATCAAATAAGTTTCAAGAAAAAAGAGGTATTAATAAATATATACCAAACTCAATTAACTCCGAGGATCTAAAATTTTAAAAGCTAATTCCTGCGATTATTACAAAACTCGGCAATTTGACATATTTTTGAGTCGTAGAATCGAAGTATGGATGATCCTAATTCAAAATGTTTTTTGAAAAATTTATAAAAATTATTTTAAAATACAAATTTAAAAAATAAATCATAAAAATTGGGTGCATTTTATTTGGAATGAAACTAAATTTCGATATGTGAAAGGAAGAATCAAATAAGTTTAATAAAAGAGAGATTAATAAATATATACCAAACTCAATTAACACTGAGGATCTAAAATTTTAAAAGCTAATTTTTTTAAAAAAACACTCCTGCTCATTTTTATAAAACTCGGCAGTTTGGCATAATTTAAGTCGTAGAATCTAAATGTGGAAAAAATGACATGTCATTTAAAAAAAAGTCCGATTTTTGTGTCAAAATACCTATAGAACAACGCTATATATAAATTTAATATATAACCTAAGTCATGCTTTCGAGACATGAAAAACGTAAGTTGAATTTCGTCAGTCGGCCCAGTTAGAATGAGAGATACTGAACAATCCCATTTTTTTGCTTAGTGTACCTAATATTTCTGTCCAGGAAAATGCTCTCGAGTGCCTAAAATGCCTAGTGTGCCTAATATTTCTGTCCAGGAAAACACCGTAATTCTTGAAGACTTTAATTGCCACTCTTGCAGATAGGGTTACAAGCAATCAAACCCTCCTCATAGGGCTTTGGATGACTTCCTTGATTTTTCTGCTTTTGATCTTCAACCGTTTAAGAAATATACTTTTGGCTTTTAAAGAAGAAAAGACAAACCCTGATCATGTGTTCTTACACATTAATGTGCAGGAAAAAACATCAAGTCCTGTATGGACATAAAAACCTGAAGAACTCGCACCCTTCATTCCCAGCGCTCTTATACTGATACATATCCTTTTCCTAGATGGAATCTAAAAAAGGCTGATTGGCCAAAGTACACTAACTTCAAACAGAAACCTCTTGCTGTGAATAACCTTCAATTTTCAAACCAGAATAAAAGTAGTGACTTTATCACAAAGCCTATTCGTGTTTCTGGTCCAGGCCTCAATTCCTAAAAGAAAAAATTAGAAATTATAAACATTTCTGCTCTGCCGAGTTATCTACTCTAAAGAATAAACGTGACAAATCCGTTTACAAGCTGAGATTCTGGGCGACTTAAAATCAGATCTTCATCGTTCACAGGCAGTCCTACAGAGAGCTATTAAAGAAGCAAAAAGAAAGTGTTTAAAAATTTTTTTTCCGCTTTGAAACTTCAGAAGAGATGGTGTCCGGCCTTATCGTTTTCTCTCTTCTTAAAAAATGAACCTTTCGTTAGAAATGGAAGATTTTATAACAGAGAAAAAGCCTTAGCCCTTTGACAAATTTTACACCTTAGTATGCAGACTTCCCCGTAAAACACGGACTAGACATCCTTATCAGCCACTACCTGGATGCCTCGACTATGACGACGAACTTCTTTTTAACAATGATTTTACTCTTGAGCTCCACACAGGTATGCATCCAACAAAATGGATAAATGCCTTGGACCCGATAATAGGCCCAGTCAACATTTCATTAAAGTGGGTAAAAAAGGGCAAACTCTTCCCACTTTTCGTAACATTACTTGGAAATTGTATGTTCCCTCAGGGTGGAAAGAGGACGAGATGGCTAACAGGGGAGATAACAGACTCAAACTTTTAAAAAGACTGTCCAGCAAGCATATTAGCATTCTGTACCGCGCCACATAACTTGCGATTCAACATACTTTCGGATGACATAATTTTCTCTTGCCGTAATAACGCTTAGATGTAATTCTTATGGTTTTGTTTTCGACGAATGACGCGTATGAGCGACACGGAAGCGTGAAAATTATAGTCTGTTTTCCTTAAAACAAAAACATTTAGCAGCAGCGTTCTGCATGTGGCTTCCTGTTTCATGGAATTATATAATTATAAAATTTTTCAAAATGCTGTTCATATCAAAAGCGATGTTAAGCGAAACATCCATTATTATCTATTTCTCTTTATTAAAAAACAGCCTCTTACTAAAAAACCAGTGTCTCTGTTTGGGTGCCAAGATTTCACGAGCAATCTAAATTCTAATTAAACAGTTGAAACAAATGAAATAATCTTAAATCTTCTTACTATGTCTCTTTGCTCGTAAATAGATGTTGACGCTGGGAAGGCTGTCTTCTTAAATCCAAAAAGCTACTAAATGTTTACACACATACCATTTATTAATCATTTTAACACACACTCGGACTCAATACAGGAGACACACACTTAACGGAAAAACAACATAGAAATAAATCAAAAAGAAGTTAGAGTCATCAAAGTTTTTAGGCATGCGCAGATACCTGGAGTTGGAATTGGAAGCACTCCATTCTATACTGTGGGAGTTGCAACACTATGCTTCTCATGCTATCTCATCTCATCAAGAAACTATTACAAATTGCAGTTATAATTTTTGCCTTGCATTTTTTTATTCTTAATTATTATCTTAGTATATGTGTGTATTTGAAAATAAAGTAAAAAAATTAATACTACTTTATTATTTAACTGTAAAATTTTGTACAGGTTCATGCCTATTTGATGTGCGGGAAATTAAAATCTGCGTTCTTACTTGCTCGAAAACTGAATAGTGCTCTTCATGTTCGCCGTGTTATGGTTGCTGCAGAACAAGGAGGTCAAGACTCAATTCAAGGGTTTTGCAAACAATGGTTAGAGACCAATTCATTAAAAATGAAACCAAAGGAATCTTCTCACCAGCAATTTTAGTTTTCATCACATTGAATATTGTATTACATGTATTCATGTTGAACAAAGGTACACATACCATGAGGATTTACATAAGTATTTAAATTTTTATTATGAAAAGTGCCTTAATGTATTAGTACTGTGAAATTTGCTGATTTTTAAAATATTGCAACTCTATCCACATCTATGTGATAAACATCTTTGTATTATGTGATAAATATGAAGAATTCATTGTGTATAATTTGTTTTAAATATAATTTTATATATAAAAAATAATGCTTTATACTTTAACAACTGAAACTGAAGATCTGAAATCATCCTGTGGTTTCTTGTGATGTAATTAATTAACTGTGTGTAATCAAATAAATATATTTTTATTGGACACTAAATCTTTTTACCTAATTATTTAAAGCCTATTTCATTATTTACATTTGTTTTTGCACGAGCAAATCTGGCCCACGAGCACTATTAATCCAGCATGCCATGGGTTTTTTTAAAATAATGCTAGAAAATTTTAAGTAACAAGTAACATACACATTAACTGTTTTATATAATAGCCAATCTAGGAATGTGTTTATAAAATGTAAATGTGTTGCCTATCATGCATGTTCTTTATAAAACATTATACAATCATTTCTAAATTTACAATGACTGAAATACTGTCACATTCTATATAAAAAATCTCATGTGAACATGCATGACCTCTTCATACGCCCTTTAAATTACACACATTTTTTGCTGCACTTCATTTAAACTTATTTCCTTGAATTTCATTAGAGATATATTTCTTATTCAATAAAAATTCAGTTCTCATTTTGCAACAAGACAAAAATACATAATAACTCAAAATATCTTCCAACAAAGCAAGAATTTAAAATGTAAATAAATGGCAGCTTAGTAACTAGTTCTCTAACTGACATTTTCTTAGCCCTACTATTTATAAAATGCACACACAATATATATCAACCAGTATGCTGCAAAGAACTAAATCAGGAAGTAATAATTAAATCAATGTATGGTGGTTAACAAAAAGACCACAAATTAATATTGAAACAAAAATGTGATGCAATATAAAAATAATGATATAACAAATAGTTGGAAATTCTTTGCTCTTTTTCATGAAGCATCTGAAAAAGTTTGAATTATATCTGGATGATTATAAAAACGAATTCATGAAATAATTCAAAAGTGCAAACAAAAAAAAAAGCAGTCATACTCCTATGCTATCTGAATTAATAACTCATTTGTTATTTACATAAACCTAAAACCGGCGTCAGAGCTCGTATGGCTGCACCAGGTATCAGAATTTAGGAAAGACAACATTTTTAGAATTTTGGTAAAACACTGGGACCCAAAATTTAAAGGCGGCAAAAACTTAAAACCTACGGACGTACTTAATAGCATAATATAGGATTCAGAGACTGCATCAGGCGGTAAGCTATCTAGCCTGGCCCATGATACTTATTCAGGATTCAGATAAGCATCTGCAAGAAACAGACTTAAGTATAATAAATAACTAATACAATTCAGGCTTAATTGTCTGAGGGCACAATAGAAGCAAGACAAAATTTAGCGGAACAACTTGTCTTTCGTCGGCAATCTTATGATACATAACCAATAATGTATAGTGGATGCTATCAAACTAGGCTAAAAGTATACTTTACTGATTCCAAGGAATTTCAAATAATATAGCAGATTGTGCTGTTCTTTAACTTTCTAATTTGATTCAGCTTATTATTTTTTGCTGGCTGTTATTATTACAGTAATTTTATGAAAATTAAAGTTCGAACTTTCGATTATGTGTGGAAAGATTTCTAAATTCTGGAGCTACAACAGGATCTACAGTGCGAAAGCCTGTTTCGATGTCCATTTAACAAAAATTGGAATTGCTGCAAAAAATGGATAAAGGTGTATCCATCTCAAAATTATGCGAGGTGTATGGCATTAGAAAGTCAACTGCATATGACATAAGAAAACAGAAAAAGGAACGTTTTGAATTTTTTGTGGATTCCTACACCCAACTCGCAATGAATAAGAGAAAAATTATTCATTATGCTAAACATGGCGATTATGACAAAGTGATAATTGAATGGATCAGATAGCATCTGCAGCAAGGGCATGCCATTGACAGGTCCAATGCTTTTGGCTGAAGCTAAAATATTTCATGAAGAAATGAACTTAAAAACTGAGTTCACATATTCGACAGGTCGGTTAACCAAATTTAAAAATCACCATGGTATAAAGCAATTAAAAATTTCAGGTGAAAAAACTTCAGCAGATACTGAACTATTTGCAGAAGAATTAATTGAACTCACTAATAGTGAAAAGTTATCTCCAGAACAAATTTTCAACACTGATGAAACTTTCAACAACAGACTTTTGATTTTCAACACTGATAGGTCTTTTCAAGCATTATATATCATGAAATACCTTAGCAACATTTACAGAAAAGGCTCTAACTGGTGTCAACGATTCCAAAGAGAGACTGAACAGTTTTAACATGCGCAAATGCTGCAGAAACGCACAGATGTAAACTTTTCGTAATCACAAAAAATAGACGATCATCAGCATTTAAAGGAGTTAGATTTACCCCCTTATATATCGTGCAAATAAAAGCATTAATGGACGATTGGTTTGAAAATCGTTTAAAGTCCAATGCTCAGTAACATTTGAAAACGATTGTTTACATGATGACAAAAAAAAAAAAAAAAATTGTCCTGATTGTAGACAACTCTACAGCTCATACTTCACTTGAAGTTTTAGTGAAACACAATGTATTCGTATTATTCTTTCCTCCAAATTGTACGTCCATTATAACAGCATATGAATATCGGAATAGTGCCTGCGCTGAAATGTAAATATAAAGTAGCATTTTTAAAGTCTACATTAAATTTCTTGAATAATGGCAAGACTATTCAAGAATTTTTGAAATATTTAGCATAAAATCTACTGTGCGAAGCATTTTTAAGATCGTGGGAGGATGTGAATCCAGATACTAAATACTTGGCATAATTTATGGCCAACTACCATATTTAAGGATGAAGAAGATGACAGCCACAAATTTGAAGGTTTTCAGATATCACAAACTAAAGGGAAGATTTTTCAATTAATGCATGTTATAAAGAAATGTGGAGAAGCGGTAATAAATGAAGATGATATAACAGAAGTTTCTCATTTGTGATTACAATGCCCCAATCATCAATCAACAGATAGCAAAATCTCTAGTATAGTTCTAGATCCAGAAAATGCCGCTACCGATAGTGAAGAAAGTGACAGAGAGGTTATTGAAAACGATAAAATTTCTATTCACAAGTTATTCGGAATTCTCGACACACCAATTACAGGACTTGAACAATGGAACTTTGTAACTGAACAAGAAATAATATCCGTCTATAGAATTAAAGAGAAAGTGTTAGCACAAAAAATGAAGCAACTTAAACAACTTACATTGAAAGAAATGTTTAATAAAATAAAGAAGTAAATATTAATTGTTTTTTTTTTTTTTTTTTTTTTTTTTTTGTTTGTTGTTGTTTCTCTATTTCATAAATCATGATTTTGTATTTTTAATTTTATAAGTTCTACATGCCATCTTACCAGGTTTAAACTGATGATCTAATATCCAAAAAAAATCCCAAATCCGGGATCGTGGAAGTCCCGATGAATCCAGATCTCAGACTTTGTAATGCATTTTATAAATGAGAGGGAAATTATATTTGGCATAAACTCTGGTTGCTTCATTAAATCTTCTTTTCATTTCGGTTATACTAATATACATACCAAGCAGATAAAAATTTGCTTTTGGATTAACCAAAGTTTCAATAATTTTAGCACCCCGAATTTAATCAAATTTTTAAAATATTTATTTCCCCCCCTCCTCTGTTCTGATCTCTGTGTGATCAAATCTTTAAAATAAGTGTAATTTCTTCAAACTTTAAAAATTCATTCAAAGCATGGATTCCCTTCACTCACAGATTTTTAACATACAGTGGCTCCCAAAAGTGTTCATACACTTATGATTTTCATTGAAATAGGACTGTATCTATTAATTAAAAGTAAACTTTCTGAATGAGATTTTAATAATAAGAACTATAATCTATTCGTAACAAAATTACATGAAATATTTTTAAAATATAATGAAACTTTAGTTTTAAAAAATTAATAAAAAAATGACAAATATTTTATCTCACAAAAGTCTTCGTGCACTTCATCTTGACATATTAGTAAATATTTTAATTTTTCGTTAAATTAATATTAGTAGGATATCCTTTAAAATCCACAACAGCTTTTAAACATCTGGGAATAGATTTTACTTTTTTTTTTTTTTTTTTTTTTTTGTAATTCCTATATCAAATGTTCATCTATTCTTCCATCATGGCTGTTTTGAGTTCACTTTTTGTTTTGATGTCGTGTTTTCGTTTTTCAACCTCCAGCTCTTTCCAAATGTGTTCTACGGGGTTTAAATCTGGCGACTGAGGTGGTGCTTTCAAAACCTGTGGACAATTATAGAGACACCACAGGCGAACATTGAGAGACGTATGCTTAGGATCGTTATCATGATTAAAAATAAAGTTTCCAATACCAAAATTTTGGGCTGATAATTTTAAATTAAAAATATTTCATGTAATTTTGTTACGAATAGATTATAGATCTTATTATTAAAATCTCATTCAGAAAGTTTACTTTTAGTTAATGGATAGAGCCCTATTTCAATGAAAATCATAAGTGTACAAACACTTTTAGGAACCACTGCACATGCTAATTTCAGTTTTTTTTTTTTTTTTGTATACAAAGATATCTTACAGGAAAGGGTTATAAAATTAAAACTTTTAGGGTTCACATGACCATTTTATACCGAACTATTTATTATTTTATTCGCAATCAAGATATATTTCAGTCCATAGTTTAATTATACTAAAAGGAAGAAAATGTTTGTATATTTTGATGCATAACATTTAGGTGTTTAATAGTTAAAGTCATAAATAAGTGTTTCTATTATGAGTGGTTTCTTGTCTTTAAAGACAGATATTTTTATTCAAAAATGGATTTTAAATCAAAGAGAGCTATGAATGCTTTAATTCTTGTACATGTAACTGTAGTTCATGCACATTAATTTTGTTATTATAAAGAAATTTTTAATGTTGCTGAAAACTCAAAAAAATTCCAATTAAAACATTTTATCTGAATCTGAACTAAATATTGCATTATAACATTTTATCAAAGTGTGGGTAACTTCTAAATTGCATTAGCAAATAACAGTTGTCATGAAACATATTAGTTTTAAATATATCCAAAATTCTACCTTAGAATAGCATTGATTTTTAAACAAATTTTCTATGCATTTCAAAAGAATCGGACAAAGGTCTCTCCTTTTCTGTCATCATGAACTGCA